TGAATATAAACCTAACAGACCACTCAGATCATTAGGATCATGTCAGTTAGAAACACCAAGGGTTCACTCAAAACAAGGGGAGTCCGCTTTTAGCTATTATGTCACCCTCAGTTGGAATCGGCTTCCAGAAGAGATCAGATGTGCTAAAACATTAGTCACATTTAAATATAGACTCAAAACTCATCTGTTTAGCTGTGCATTTATTGAATGAGCACTGTGCTACGTCTGAACTGATTGCACTATATTTTATGTATAATCGTTTCTATTTTTAACTGTTTTAAATTCATTTTAAAAGTTTTTAAGTTCCCTGTTTTATTGTTGTGATTTTTTAATGATTATTTTACTTCCTTTTATGTAAAGCACTTTGAATTACCATTGTGTATGAAATGTGCTATATAAATAAACTTGCCTTGCCTATCTATCTATCTATCTATCTGATGTTGTGTTGTTGTTTTGTGGTTTCTAGCGTGAGACAGTGCTCAGCATCACACCCCCAGCATGAATAAAACAGGACTCTGCAGAAAAGCGCAGTGACGGTGCATCACTCACCTCGTACTCCTGCGACAGATGCAGGTTGTCGTTGGCCTTCAGGTGCTCCGTGTGCTCGGGCAGCTCAGAGATGGGGATGGGTGGGTGACTCATCATACCTGCAGGGGCAAAGGTCACAGCGGTCGTCATGGAGATGACCCACAAACATCACCTCAGCTGTGTGCGTGTGAATCACTCATGACTGCCGTCACCGAAAGAGCTCTCACACCTAGTGAGTGTCACAACACCTCGTGTGCTGCCTACTGAGGCTGAGATAAACTATTCTGCCTTCTTCAATCCCAGAATGCACCGCTACAAGCTCAGTGAAAGAATCAATCCGAGATGGTGGAAATATTGACTATTAATATGTTCATTCCATAATGAAAAATATTGACACAAACGCAAACTTAATTAAAACTGCACTACTTCACCCAGTATGTGACGTGCTTCACGTGAGGAGTGAGGTGTGTGACACTTACGAGTGTGAGGGAGCCTTAAAAGGGAGCTGCCTATGTAGACAGCAGACTAAGAGACAGCTCACTAGGTTTGGACAGTGTGTGTGTGTGTGTGTGTGTGTGTATTTGTACTTTTGAGGGCCAAATGTCCTCACTTATATTGTGAAATATCATGACAAGCAACTAGAGAGGACATTTGACTGATCCTCACTACTTAAAAAGGCTTATAAATCAGCCAAATCATGTTTCTATTTAAGGTTTCTGTGAGGGTTTGTTTAGGGTTAGGAGACAAAATATCATTAGTCTGATTATAAAAACAATGGAAGTCTATGAGATGAGCTCACTAAAATACTCAAACAAATGTGTGTACTGTACGTGTGATTGTGTTTGTGTGCATGTAAGTGTGTGTATGTATATATGTGTGTGCATGTGTATTTGTGCATGTGTGTGCATGTGTGTGTGTGTGTGTGTGTGTGTGTGTGTGAGTGCACGTGTGCGTGCCTGGTGTCTGGAAGTTGATGCGTCTCATCTCCACAGGGTCGGTGGGGTTGTGCGCCATCATCTCAGCATTATTCAGCAAACATTTAGTTCCTGGCTCAGAGTCCTTGCGTTTGCTGATGAGTGAAAACACACACAGAACGAGGAGAAACTGCAGTTAATGAAAGAAACTCAACAGACAGAAAGAAATTCAAAGAGCAGAAGCACATAAATAAAGCAGAGAGCCAGACAGAAGCTGTTCTGCTTTAATCTTCTCTCAGTGATGAGGGATCAGATCTCACTTACCTGTCAGGTTTACTGGAGTCCCATCAAACGCCGCACACACACAGAGAGAGAGAGAGATCAATAGAGTGCATTTGTATGCAGCAGCTACATGACACCTCCTGCAGATAACACACTCCTGCATCGGGGACAGTTTAACTGCTGCCCCGCGGGACTGGATTGTTCCGGACTAAATGGAAGGGGGTAGGAACAGATCAGACCCAAGGGCGGATTTATCAGCCGGCCCGGCCCGTCATGTTCCGCTCACCCCCCCCGCGGCGCCAGCAAGGTCACGCCGCCGATTTAACGAACACAGATACCTGTGATTGTGCGAAGGATGAGCTCACGCTGAGACGGCCCCCAGAACTCACAATCACTCACAGCCAAACAAAGAAAGAAAACTGGGACACGACTCAATGTGAGTGTGTCTGAAGACGCCGTCCCATGATGCACCTGATGAAGAGCAGAGCTGCAGTCTAGATTAAAGAGGTCATGACATGAGAAATCAAATTTGCATTGATCTTTTGGCATGTAAGAGGTCTTTGTACCATTAAAACATCCTGCAAGTTTCATAGCTTACAACGTCCTCCTCATTATGAACAAAGCATTTATTTAATCGAGCTCCAAAAACGGCTTGTTTGGATCTGAGGTGCAAGATGACGTCACAGATATTTGCATAAGCACCGTCTGACACTCGATCACACTGAATGCTAGCGTCGTGTCACAAGCAAATATAAATTAAAATCACTGCGCTATCTTGTCTGCACTGGATACAGTAAACAGATGCGGTTCACTTTCTGACACAGTCCAGCGCTCGAGTCTGTCGTCAGGACAAATGCAGTGAAAGAACGTTTGTTTTGTTGCGTTTGGTTTAAACAGCTCGTTCACGTCTTTGTACAGATATCAGAAGGATCCTAGCGTCAGGAACAAGTGGATAGTTTATTTTAATGGAGTCACAAAGAAACGTGTTTAAAAATGAAACGGTACTAGATCTGACTGCAGCTGCATCACAAACCGTAAGTAAATGATAATATTCATAATGCTTTGTCTGGAAATGACCGTTTTATTTTGATTATGTTGTTAAAACACTCACAATAGTGAGAGTGCATTGATACGGTTTCCTATGCAGTGACGTTAGCCAATCACAACAGCGGCTGATTACTGACAAGCCTTAAAGGACACGGCCCTTAAAACAGATCGTTTTAGACAGAGGGTCAGAATGAGGGTTGAAAATAATCATTTTTCCACATATTTATTTGTTTTTTTTTGTGCAAAAATACTTTATTAACATTATAAGTAAACCTCAAGGAACATATTAAAATAATAAAAAATCCATGTCGTGACCCCTTTAAGATGAAGCTCAGATATGAGAGAGTCTCACATTAGCATGCTTCCAGATTCTCGCTGAACACACTGGTGACTCTCTTCACAATCACTCGTGTGTCACGTGCTGCTGTTTCCATGACAACCACTTACAGCCAAGCTGTATCCTAGCAACCACTCATCACAGCTTACTTAATAAACCCTCATTCTTTTAACGTGGGTGTACAGGTTATAACTGAATTTTATATGCATTTACATTTTAAGGTCATTTGATGAAGATGAGTGTGTGTGTGTTTGATATGTTAAGTCCGACCTCAATATGTCTGGAACCATAACAAAAAATGACAATAACGTGTAACATAATGAATTTTATACATACATTTAACATATATGACATCTAATAAATATTATAACGTTTTTCCTCTTTCCCGGTTTCATCCAGTGCAGCTGATCTGATTGAATCCTCAGCTCAGACTCTATTATCTTCCTGTCCAGAAATAGCTGCTTCCTGCATATTTAATCACACATTATTCTCTTCTGTCCTCAAATCAGTTCCAGTCGTCATAGAGACGGCGCTGTACAGTTAACATCATCTCTTCTTCTCATGACTATTATATCTAGTTAACTTTACTAATACATGAGCACTGATAGGAATATAAAGCATGATGTTCATCAGAAACAGAGCTTCAGGCCAGAAGAAATACATAAAACTGACACATGGACCAAAAAGAGCACATAAGAAACACCTGGAGAGGCACGAGTCCTTGCACAAAAATGATATATATTTACAGGGGTGCTCATACAGTAAGTTTACATCCCTCTAAAGAAAAAAAGAATTATTATTATAAATGATACTAAAAATAAGAGGATTCATAAAAATAGAATTTAGTTTTTTTTCAACGAAAATGAAGTGAGTTTATGCTTAAAACAAGAGCAAAAATCTGTCAGTGTGGTAAGAAAAATAAACCTAATTCAAAGGGAAAACAAGTATATTTTTCTGACTCCACTGACAGATATTTGTTTTTATTTTAAGCAAAAACTCACTCAATTTTGATAATTTTTTTTCAGAAAATAAAAATGTGTATTTTAAGTAATTTTGCTTCTCTAGTAAATGTATCTTGTTTTAAGAATGTTTAGATATTTGTGCTGGAAAACAAGACAGAAACACTGAGGAAGAACAGTGCTGCTAGTCATGATGGGTAATTCTGTGTATCGTGTGTCTCTAGCAGCATCTAACATGTTCAGGTCAGACTCACTTCTTGTAGAGCAGGATGGCGATGACGATGCAGATGATGAAGAGCACAGCCAGCACGGGTCCCACCACCCAGATGAGACCGTCGCCCGCGTCCAGAGGCTGAGGGTCCGAGTCCGGCGCGATCACGGGGTCAGTGTAAACACACACGCACACTCATACACACACACCCACGCATGCACACACACACACGCACGCACACACACACGCACGCACACACTCACACTCACGCTCGCACGCATGCACGCACGCACTCACTCACACACTCATGCACTCGCACACGCACACGCACTCACACACTCACACTCACACACACTCACACTCACACACACACACTCACACTCACACACACACTCACACACACGCACACTTACACACACACTCACACACACACTCACACACACACACACACACACTCACACACAC